AGAAAAGTCAATTGTGATAGCTTCAGTCCCAACCAGTTATAATTTCACAGTGAGATTATAGCTCTAGCAAGGTAGCTACATAAAACTTATTGGTGAACCAGACCACTAAATATTAAGTAAGTGTTGAGCAAGGAAAATTTCCTGTTCACCACCCAGATTACTAAATAATATGTACAGTGAAATGAGCTCTCTCCACAATCACTCCTCTAAAAATGCAATAATTGTAAGACAAAGGCTTTTACAGGCTTTCAAATACAAGTGCATGTTTATTTTAAACTGAGATGCTACCGGTCTAATTAAGTAGCTACCCCATAGAATAACCAATGACATAGCATATTTGAGCCTTATCATTATGCCATGTGACTTTACTTCTGAAATTTTGCTCAGGATTATAAGGAAGGGGGTTGAATTGACTGAGAATTTGTTAGAGGCTTGGGCCACTCACTGGGCTCAAGTGTGACAGACACCTTGCTAGAATCAACAATGCCTAAAGTGCATTTTTTTTTATTGATGTTTCCATAACAAGCTTAGTTCTAGTAGGCTTGTTTTAGTGAAAAGCATGCAGGTCTGACGAGGTTCTCATCCTGGATCAAATGCACTGTCACTTTTTTCATTGCAAAAAGTCTAACATTTGTAAAAAGAAAACTCTTGAAAACTGTGCTTAAGTTAAACTTGTGTATATAGAACACTATTTCTATTATTTACAATTAGCCCTTTTTAAACTACAAAGTTCAATTCCTCTTTCAAATTGAATTCTCAGAAGTTCTCAGATTTGTTAAGATTGGTGACGCCAGTAAAAAAATTTCAAAGACACTGGGCACTTAAAAGCAAACCAACAAAAACATAAAATTAAAACAAAACTAAAAATATATAGTTTAAAGCAGAAAAGTAAGCATAAACTTATAAAAGATTCAGTTTCTCAGTCTGTGAGAAAGCAGGCCAAATGTTGTTCTGCTAGCATGGCATAACTTTCTGCAAAGGAGATTCCATGTTTCTTTCTTGACTCAGGTTGATGCAAAAGTTCAGTCATTGTTCTACCAAATCTTACTTAGCTTTGATCATGGGAATTCTACTGCTGTTACAAATTGTTTCTTCAGTGCATTTTCTTGAGATTATTTTCTTTCATTTGAGTATAGTTTGAGTACAGTTAATCATCTTTGTGGCAAAGGTCATCCGAACAAAATAAAACTTGGACAACGAGCAAGAACAGCAAAGGTTTTAATTAGCGATCCGAAAACTACGCAATAACACAACAAGATGGCGGGTCAGACGAGCACATGTTTTTGTCTCAAGACTGTGGGGGACTAAGTTCTATTTTGATGGGCTAACGGGCAGTTCGCACAAATATTCTTAAATAATTATCGGCTTTTGCATCATTAAGAAAATCCAATACTCCTTTAGGGAACTTTAGCACACAGCCTTTAAATGCATGTTTCCTCATGCAGTCCCCTTCCACTGGTATGATTGTCTTCACAATCCACTTGCCTTGTTTGGAGTCATAACATTCAACTGAACATTCTGGCTCTTTCTTAGTTTGGTCAAAGCCACCCAGCACATACAATGTTCCACCAAGACAAACCATGCTACCATGTGTGCGGTAAACATTCAAGTTTGCAATTAACTGCCATTCATTTGTAGAAACATTGTATACCTCACATGTTTTCAACACAGTGCTTTCTTCATCTGCTCCACCAGCAACAAAAATCTTTTCCTGAGTGGCCACACCAAAAGCCCCACCTCTTGCTTGTTGCATTTCTGCGATGTCTTCCCATTTCTCTTCTGTAATATCAAATCTGTCAGCTATTGTGACATATTGGGATGTATCAGGGGACTTCCCACCCATAAAATACAAAAAGTTACCAGATCCAACAATACAAGACTCTTTCCTGTAGCACTGAGAAGAGGAATGAAGGTTTTGCCATGAAAACGACTCTACTTGGTATTTTTTAATGTTCTGTGTGGTGATTTTGACCCCCTTAGTTCTTCTGAAAGTTTCTTCAATAGAACATAACTCTCCTCCGACGACAATCACCTTTTCCTGAACTGTGTTGAAAGACGACCTTCTTGGGATACTGACTGATGACCAACCATTCAAGACAGGATCATACCTCTCCACTCTACACAAGCTACGAAACATTAACAACTGATCACGAAATCTTATCATGTGGGTTGAAAGGATGTCAAACCTCTTTTTTTCTAGCCTGATAGGTAATCTTTTCCACTCATCTCTGTGAGGGACATAACAAAGGGCATCTTCTCCTCCACAAGCCACTATAGCGCGTGTATCAAGCCCTTTTCTGGGGGACTGGGGAAGATCATCATCGCTCGAAAACATAGTCTGTTTTATGGCATCTGAAACCAGCCTTAAACAGTCAGCACTGTCACGCACGAGTTCGTTTATCACGACATTCAACAAATAATCACGCGATACGTAAACCAGTCGAACGTGACGAAGAAGCTCTTCAAACGCTGCTTTCCGCTCGCTCTTGTTATGTTCCACCCACTTTTGCGCAATCTGGAAAACATTAGCTTCCGTTTCAACAACAATCTCATCACTTGAAATCCATCTCTCCACCTCTTTGGCTTCCAAACTTAGGAATTCATCCTCGTCTGCTACAGACGCAAAGTGGGCGTGAATGAAATTCTTGCTTTTGCTTATAAGCTCTTCACAATCGTATTTCTCGGCGAAGTAAAAGGTCGAAATGCAGTTGAATTTACACATCTGTTGCTGTAGATATCGACCAGAGATTGTTTTTAAATTTGAGATAATGAGATAATTCGTTGCAGCGACTAAATCTTGGGCATTTTCTTCAGTTACTTCCACGGCTCCAGTGTAGATGAATTCTAAAATATCTTCCATTACTGATCCCGAAATCTCTTCAAACCGAACGATCCCTTCCCGATTTTCCTTCATGTCGCTCTGAAGAAGCTTGCAAAAGAACGGACTCGCTGCGGAAAGAACATTTCTGTGAGCCTTTAACTCTTGGTCATCTTTCGTAATCAAAGTTATGTCGCATAAGTGGCCTTGTTTTCGTTGTATGTTGAGCCGTTTCATCATTTCCAGACAGAAAGGATTCTGTTCAGTGACAGTGATGGGTGGAAGGTCATCCATTGTCAAAGAATTGGCCTTGTTTTCGGGATTTGCAAGGGGAGAACTCTATGATTAGTAATATTGAAACACGAATGCCGAAATAAAAGAATTTTGCGGCACCCAGGCTTCCGAGCCCAGCTCAGGAGAGAGAGAGTCTGCACCAAGAGACAGACGCGGAGGTTGGGGACAGGAGAGGTACGGGAGATGGGAGAGGAAACTTCATTTGGTCACGGTTAAGATCGGTAGAGAAATGCTAACTGCAAATATTCCTTAAATATTAATGTAGAGTTTTCTGCAATGGGGTTGGAGACAAGATTATACTTGGGGAAGGTAGAAGAAGAGAGTAAGACAGGAGGTGATTCGAATTAAATACCTAGTTAATTGGCTCGTCCACACGGCCATGGGGCTTTTTAGAGTCAATGTTTCATTGAAAAGTTGAAAATAAAATTAAATTAAATTAAAAAAAAAAACAATTAAACGCAGATGCAGACCGAGAATTCCCTGACTTTCTTCCATATACTAGAGAGGAAATTTTTTTTAGTAAAAAAATACAGTCCCATAGTGCCTAAGAAATAAGGTGATAACCTTGAAAAAAAAATTAATATCAGCTGTGGGAGCAAAAATTTTTTTTTTCCAAAAGATTGGGTTAAAGCAGCTTCAGTTTGGTGAGTTATTTTTATCTCAGATGGAGTTTGGTTTTTTTAATCAATACTGGTAATTCATAGGAACTGTCAAAAGGATGATTCAGTCATCAAGTAATTGGAGATATCCTGAAAAGGAGAAAAATTAATCTGTAGATTCCCAGAAGCACTAGCAACGTTGAATTTATGACCTTGGGCTTCTGAATAAATGTTACATTTACTAAGTGCTTCAATTCTGATTTCTTGGTTCACTTGTTAGAACCACTTGGCCCACAGCTAGTGCAGAGCTTGATTTGTTAAATTAAAACTACATTTAAAGTAATGAAGAGTAAATATCAAGATCAGTAATTGACAGTTATGAAAGAAATGTAAATTGTCTCCTGTGGAGTCTCCAAAGGATCCACACTTGGTCTACTTGGTCTGCTATTACTTAATGTGTTGTTTATAATGATCTATCTTCTGTTTTTCAAGATTATAACTAAATTAAGATCAACACATGCAGCATGCTGATGAGTCGGTTTTTTTTCTTTGGCATAGCCACAGATGGTGATGAAATCAATAAAGTCTTACCAAGGACCTTCAGTTTATTAGTTAAAGATGCTGGTAAATGGAATTTCAAGTATAAGTATGACTGTAATAATTGACAGAATATTTAGTACAATTTAAATAAAATATTATATTAGTCATTCATTTAATGTCGCCAAGTGAGTTAAAAACAATATTTTCATGGATTACAATAAGGGAGCCTCCAGAAACCACAGGCCCATTGGAGGGAGGCCTTCTTACTTAAAAGAAAGAGAGAAAAAGAGAAAAGTCAATTGTGATAGCTTCAGTCCCAACCAGTTATAATTTCACAGTGAGATTATAGCTCTAGCAAGGTAGCTACATAAAACTTATTGGTGAACCAGACCACTAAATATTAAGTAAGTGTAGAGCAAGGAAAATTTCCTGTTCACCACCCAGATTACTAAACAATATGTGCAGTGAAATGAGCTCTCTCTCCACAAACACTCCTCTAAAAATGCAATAATTGTAAGACAAAAGCTTTTACAGGCTTTCAAATACAAGTGCATGTTTATTTTGAACTGAGACACTACCAGTCTAATTAAATAGCTACCCCCTGGAATAACCAATCACATAGCATATATTGAGCCTTATCATTATGCCATGTGTCTTTACCTCTGAAATTTTGCTCAGGATTATAAGGAAGAGGGTTGAATTGACTGAGAATTTGTCAGAGGCTTGGGCCACTCACTGGGTTCAAGTGTGACTGGCACCTTGCTAGAATCAACAATGCCTAAAGTGTATTTTTTTTTTATTGATGTTTCCATGACTGCAAGCTTAATACTAGTAGGCTTGTTTTAGTGAAAAGCAGGTCTGATGAGATTCTCATCCTGGATCAAATGCACTGTCACTTTTTTGATTGCACAAAGCCTAACATTTGTAAAAAGAAAACTCTTGAAAACTGTGTTTAAGTGAAACTTGTGTATATAGAACACTATTTCTATTATTTACAATTAGCACTTTTTTAACTACAAAGTTCAATTCCTCTTTCAAATTGAATTCTTAGAAGTTCTCAGATTTGTTAAGATTGGTGATGCTAGTAAAAAAATTTCAAAGACACTGGGCACTTCAAAGCAAACCAACAAAAACATAAAATTAAAACAAAACTAAAAATTTATAGTTTAAAACAGAAAAGTAAGCATAAACCTATCAAAGATTCAGTTTCTCAGTCTGTGAGAAAGGAGGCCAAATCTTCTGTTAGCATGGCATAACTTTCTGCAAAGGAGATTCCATGTTTCTTTCGTGACTCAGGTTGATGTGAAAGTTCAGTCATTGTTCTACCTAATCTTATTGAGTTTTGATCATGGGAATTCTATTGCTGTTATAAATTGTTTCTTCAGTGCATTTTCTTGAGATTATTTTTATTTCATTTGAGTATAGTTTGAGTACAGTTAATCATCATCTTCAATAAAAATTGCTGGCAGTTCCAAAGTCAAGACTTAAAACATACGGAGACAGGGCCTTTTCTGTTGCTGCACCTAAACTCTGGAATGAGCTGCCATTAGATCTTAGAAGTTTAGATATACTTAATTTATTCAAGAAACACTTAAAGACGTTAGTATCCTGTCTTGAATGGTTGGTCACCAGTCACTGAGCTTTCTTACATTTAAATTTTACACAATTAAGACTATCCAATACTCCTTTGGAGAACTTTAGCACACAGCCTTTAAATGCATGTTTCATCATGCAGTCCTCTTTCACTGGTATGATTGTCTTCACAATCCACTTTCCCTGTTTGGAGTCATAACATTCAACTGAATATTCTGGCTTTTCCTTAGTTTGGTCAAAGCCACCCAGCACATACAATGTTCCACCAAGACGAACCATGCTACCATGTGTGCGGTAAACATTCAAGTTTGCAATTAACTGCCATTCATTTGTAGAAACATTGTATACCTCACATGTTTTCAACACAGTGCTTTCTTCATCTGCTCCACCAGCAACAAAAATCTTTTCCTGAGTGGCCACACCAAAAGCCCCACCTCTTGCTTGTTGCATTTCTGTGATGTCTTCCCATTTCTTTTCTGTAATATCAAATCTGTCAGCTATTGTGACATATTGGGATGTATGTGGGGACTTCCNACGCCGCTTGTATTTACAACTACGGGAGGGATGGGGATGGAATGCATAAGATACCACAGCCGATTGGCCGAGCTGATAGCCGCCAAGAAAGGGGAACGATACTCGCAAACAATTTCCTGGATCCGAGCAAAGACATCCTTTGCCCTCCTTCGGTCGGCCTTAGTTTGCCTTCGAGGATCGCGGGTGAAGCGCCGCGCTGCGTATGACTATAATAATTGTGACGTTGAAATCGCAGCTGCCGAGGGAGCCATTGACATTGTTTAATGATTTTTAGCAGCCTTGTATATAGGGTTCTAGATTTGCCATTCACCTTTCTCTTTTCTGTATAGTTTTAGATATGCTTTTACTTATCAGATTATTAGACTTTGAATCTGTTCAGATTTGACTCCGTTATTTATAGTTTTCCAGACGCTTTGACAAAAAAAAAGGAGTAGATGTGAGGCGAAAGTGAGTTATTTTGGATCGTTTTTTACGCTGTTAATATTTTGTATTGTAGAGGACTTAATGGAAATTATTGCAAAATAAAATTGTTATAATAATACTAATAATAATACCAAAATAATAATAATAATAATAATACTTAAAATGCTTAAAATTGTTTTAGTGAAAAGCAAATCAGATGAAATTCTCATCCTGGATCAAGTACATTGCCATTTTTTGCTTGAGCAAAGCCTAACATTTATAAAACGAAAACTCTAGCACATTGTGCTCAAGTGTAACTTGCGCACATATATAGAGAACACTATTCTAATTATTTAAATTAGCATTTTTTTGACTACAAGGTTCAATTCCTCAGCCTTTCAAATTGAATTTTTCTGAAGTCGTTAGATGTGTCAGGATTAATGATACCAGTACAAACTGGGTACTTAAAAACAAACAAAATACAACAGTAAAACAAAAATAAAACTATATAGTTTTAGGACAGAAAATCTTTTTCATCTTCATCAAAATTATAAACATTTAAGATGATCCAATACTCTTTGGGAGAACTTTAGCACACAGCCTTTAAATGCATGTTTCTTCTCAAGGCTGTCCTTTTCCACTGGTATGGTTGTCTTCACAATCCATTTGCCCTGCGTGGAGTCATAACATTCAACCAAATGTTCCAAATTTTTCTTAGTTTGGTCAAAGCCACCCAGCACATACAATGTTCCACCAAGACAAACCATACTACCATTAATGTGGTAAACGTTCAAGTTTGCAATTAACTGCCTTTCATTTGTGGAAAAAATTGTATACCTCACACATTTTCAACACAATGCTTTCATCTGCTCCTCCAGTGACAAAAATCTTTTCCAGAGTGGCCATGCCAATAGCCCCACCTCTTGCTTGTTGCATTTCCGTGAATTCTTTCCATTTTTTTGTAATGTCAAATCTGTCAGCTTTTGCAACATATTGGGATGTGTGTGAGGACCTCCCAACCAAAAGATACAAAAAGTTACTATATCCAATGAGACAAGACTCTTTCCTGTTGCACTGAGGAGAGGAGTGAAACTTTTGCCATGAACATGACCCTGTATGGAATTTTGTAACGATTGTTGTGTTTGTTGTGCTTTCAACCCCCTCCGGCGTTTCAAGGGTTGCGTCAACAGAAAATAACTCTCCTTCAATGAAAATCACTTTGTCCTGCCATATGTCAAAAGGAACTGATGACCAACCATTAAAGACAGGATCATACCTCTCTGCTCGACCCAAGCTACCAAACATGAACAACTGATCACGAAATCTTATCATGTGGGTTGAAAGAATGTCAAGCCGCTCTTTTGACCCGTTGTGTAATCCTTTCCACTCATCTTTCTGAGGGACATAGCAAAGGGCATATTCTCCTCCACAAGCCACTATAGCACATGTGTCACGCCCTTTTCTGAGGGACTGGGAAAGATCATCATCGCTTGAAAACGCAGTCTGTTTTATAGCATCTAAAACAAGCTTAAGGCAAACAGGGTTGTCACGCACGAGTTCGTTTGTCACGACATTCAGCAAATAGTCACAAGATACGAATTCCAGTCAAACGTGACGAAGTAATCCATGTGGTTATTATTTAGTTCTTATTAACCGAGGGGGAGGTTTGTATGGGAGAATCTTGACCCAGGTCACCAGTACAGACCGAATGCAGTGAGGTTTGTACCAGTGACCGAGGTCAAGATTCTCCCACACAGACCGACCTAGCTCGGTTAATAAGATGGTTATTATATGGCTGTGCCTTCTATGCCAATTTTTTATATTCTTTGTACCTTTCTTTTCTAGACTGGTTTAGATGCTGGTCTAGATGGGAAAATCTAGACCGCTTTCAATATTGATTTCAGCCAATCAAATTTGTGAATTCGGTAGTTTCTGCTTCTTGTGAGACACAGCCATATAATAATTATAATTATAAACCCTTTACGCCCTAACATCAGTTTTCATATTCTCCATACTGTAATCTCTAAACATTTTCTAAGGTGCTGACAAGGAGAATTTGTTTAACAATCAGGAGCTTGTAATCTTTAGTTGGTGATCATTTCCTTTATTCTCATGACCTTAGTGATTGATTCAGGGCTGATAATGTAAGGAGATATTAAATGCTAGTCACTTTTCATGGATCAAAGAGTTCAACTTGAGAAATTGCTTGTAATGTGTGTGAAGGAAATACTCATCTATTGAAAGAGTGACATTAAACATTTGTCCCAAGCAAAGAACAGAGAAAAGTCAATTGTGATAGCTTCAGTCCCAACCAGTTATAATTTCACAGTGAGATTATA